ATCCTTGAAGTGCTTGAAATGAATAATTACAGTTGAATCCTGCGGTATTCACTACAGTCGTTTTTTATGCTTCTCGTTGATATTAATGCTCTGTACGTACGTATTTGTGTGATGCGTGTGCGTGTGTGTGTGTATGTTTGGCAGAAATATATGCACGCTGAAGTTTTTTAGACCGTTCCCGTCAAATCCATTAACCCCAGTCTTGTCTAGGTTTTTCTAAGTAACTTAGTTTATTTTTTGATTCTTCCAAAAGCTACAGTTCGTGGCTTCGTGCATGCCTCGGGAATGTTTTTTTTTTTGCCTTGATCATCACCTAATGGTCAGCATGCTGATAATCGGACATTCATTCATCCCCTGGAGAGATTGTCGGCTCAACAGTTACATATGTCAATTAAGGGATATTTTAACTTCTAAGAGACCATTCCCTGCTATTTAAACGTTTCAGTTGCAGAGATCATTTAAAACTATTGGCCCAGTAGGCAATAAAATTCTTTAGTCATGCAAAAAAAAAAAACAACACAGAGGGATTTGACTCAATTGACGGCGATCGGTAAGACGATCCTGAAAATTCCTGCGATCCTGCGGGGCGTTTCTGCGACAGCTTGTGCTTAAGCCCACTGCCCTGAGACCTTGATGCAATAATAGCGTCTCCGCCATTGTTCTCCACTTATGTCTGCCTTTTCCTTGTCAGATGCTTGCCACAGTGTTGTCTCTCACAACACATTTGTGCAGAGATTCACATGCAGTGACTGTTTTTCTCGTTAAAAAAAAAGAATTTTCATCAGTTTGTTTAAAAAATTACGCTATTTTAAAGACTATGCGCGTCAGTCAGTTGTCACTTTAATAATTGTCCTAATCGAACAGCTGCTAGTACACGTTGAAGAATTTCTGTACTCGAAGTATAACGCAGTTTATCCCTTGCAATTTTCAGCTTTCAATGGAAATTTGGCGAAAGAAATTGATTGAACCGATGGAACACCGACTGATTGACAATGTTTTGAAAGCAATCGCCGCAGATCGCGAGGGAACAAATCATATACCGGTAGATATCGTCCGAGGTGTTATCATCTCTTTTGTGCAAGTGCGTTTCTGAGTTAATAGATAACTGATTCATCCGTCTGCCTGTTGCTTCCAGCAATCTAGCTAAACAGTAAACTGCTTATTCAGTAGAAATAATCTGTCGGCGCTCGCTGTAACAGCAACAGCGTTAGGAATTGGGGAAAAAGTCGTGCACGCTGATTTCAATTGACTAAAAACAGAAATGGGAAAGGAAAGGGCTTACAAGAAGATGGTTTACATCGAGCAGGCAGCAGATACTAAGTGGAGCTGTACAGCTCATGATCGAAGGGCCTGACACAGATACGCCTGGCACGTAGGAGCGTCCTGGTAATATCGTCAGCACAAGATTCCCACAGTGATTTTGTTGCTGCCCGGTCATTTTTGATATAAACCAGAAATTGGAATATGAGAACTGAAAATAGGATTTGCAAAAAAATAAACT